CTCTCTACCGAACACTGGTAGCTAGGTCTAAGTATGTATTTATTAACATACAAAGCTATCAGACTCTATACTCTCTACCGAACACTGGTAGGTCTAAGTATGTATTTATTAACATACAAAGCTATCAGACTCTATCCTCTCTACCGAACACTGGTAGCTAGGTCTAAGTATGTATTTATTAACATACAAAGCTATCAGACTCTATACTCTCTACCGAACACTGGTAGCTAGGTCTAAGTATGTATCATAGTATGTATATCTATGTAGTAATCCTGTTTGAAAGAACCTATATAGACATTTAAAAAAAACATTTTTGGAAAGTTTATTACAAAGATTTTAATTAAAGTTAAAACATTGTTATTTTAGGTCGCAGTGCTATACCATTTTTGGACAGAATTTTTCTCTTTATCAAGAAAGTTTAATTTATTTTTTTCACGAGAATTGAAATATTTTTTTTAATCCAGGAACCCAATAAATTTTATAGCACCTTGGTCCTTGCTATAATATATTGCTAAATAAAATTTTGTATTAGAGCACAGCTATAATGGAATTGACCATGAATTTGGCTTGCATGAGTGATAAAATTTAATTTTGTTTTAACAATAGATATCTGTTACTTTTCTTTATTTTAGCAATAGTTATATGTTACTACTGTTTATTTTAGCAATAGTTATATGTAACTATTGTTTATTTTAGCAATAGTTATATGTTGTTATTGTTAATTTTAGCAATAGTTATATGTTAGTATTGTTTATTTTAGCAATAGTTATGTGTTACTATTGTTTATTTTAGCAATAGTTATATGTTACTATTGTTTATTTAGCAATAGTTATATGCTACTATTGTTTATTTTAGCAATAGTTATATGTTACTATTGTTTATTTTAGCAATAGTTATATGTTACTATTGTTTATTTTAGCAATAGAGATCTGAAGTCCCATTGCTGCAGATAGTTCACTGTAAACTAGTTTCTTTCTTTACCAAATCATTAAATAAGGCATTTGAGGACAACATTCAAGGCAGAAGATTTAATTTTAACTTGGGGTCGTCTTATTTAAATAATAATTTTTATTTAATGACTTGGTAAAGAAAAAAATCAGTTGAAAGTTGCAGGAAATAATGAATAAAATGAAACAGGACAGTATAAACTCGCACAGTCGTCTCTGAAGTCTCATCCGTTGTGGGTAACCCTGTTTATAAGAGCAACTCTTTACAAAAAAGTGGTATGATGCCGAATTTAAAGAATTTAAGCCACGGCTTAAATTTAAGCCGCGGCTCAAATATGGTTGGTTCCCATAGATAAATAAATAAACATAGATAGCTTATGTACGCAAAATCACCAAGAATTGTACAGTCCGCGAACTCATACTTCTAGGGGTCAAAGTGTACTTCAATGATAAGCGGGGTGGTTTGGTGTTTTAAT